ACGGCGACGGCGACGGCGACGGCGACGGCGACGGCGACGGCGACGACGACGACGACGACGACGACGACCATGATCACATGGACGGGGAAAACAGCGCTGACATGCTCGAGCCGTGCTGGCCGCGGAAGCCCCCCCATTCCTATTTGTATACTTTTAGAGGGCCAGGGAGCCCACACTCCAGCGCACCCCCCCCCAAACGAATTTCGCCTCCTCAGGCCTGTCTTGCGCCTTGCTGTGGCCATCCTGGGGTCGTCTTGACGCCCCCCGAGTCAAGCGAGAGTGCACAAGCGAGAAGGCCGAAAACATTACTTTTTTACAGCGTTTTCTCTGATTTTCCCACTCCGGGCCCTGTTGCGCCAGCTTTAGGCCTCTTTGGGGCTCGTCAGGGGCCTCATCTGGAGCCGTCTTGGAGGCATCTGGACGCCTCAAGAGCCAATCGGAAGCGGCAAGGCGAGAAGACCAAACACCTTCCTTCTCCCATGATTTTCCTACATTTGGGCCCCCATCTCCGGGCCCTATACTGCCGGGGAGCGCCTCTCCCTCCCCGCCCTCCCCCAAAAGACTTTCGAATTCTCGGGCCTGTCTTGCGCCTCCCTGTGGCCGTCCTGGGGTCGTCTGGACGCCCCCCGAGTCAGCCGGAAGTGAAAAAGCGAGCAAACCGCAAACATTGCTTTGCTACAGCGTTTTCTTTGCTTTTCCCACTCTGTGGGCCCTGTTGCGCCAGCCTTGGACCTCTTTGGGGCTCGTAAGAGGACTTAGTTGGAGACGTCTTGGAGCTGTTTCGACGCCTCAGTGGAAGACAAGCAGTAAGAAGTAGAGGAAAAGAAAAGTGAGCGGAGAAGAAAGCGGAATGAGGAAACGGAGGGAAGAGCAGAAAGAGGATGAAGATGAACAGAGAAAGGGGGGGAGGAAAATGCGGAGGAAGAGCAAGAGGAGGATGCCCTGCTTCATGCTACCCCAACCGGTCGCCTGAGACTTACTCGCGCCTCTGGGCACAGAAATGCCCTGAGCTGGCCAGAGCTGGCGTTGTCAAGTCGCTCCCGCTTAGGAGATCCTGACCCACTCCGACTTGGCGGTGGCCGGCCCCACGTCCACGCGCGCACGCCGCCTGCGTTCGAACTCACAAGCAAGGTGCATGGCGCGAAGCGCCAATGCAGTCTTGTATACATCTATACACTTATCTTTTTGTTCATAAGTATGTATCGATTTGTATGTGTGTGATATACACACACATTCATACATCCATACACACATACATACATGCATACATACACACATACATACATACATCCATACACTCATACACTCATACATACATACATACATACATACATACATACATACATACATACACACACATACATACATACATACATACATACATACATACATCAATACATACATACATGCATACATACATACATACATACACACACATACATACACACACATACATACACACATACACACATACACACATACACACATACATGCATACATACATACATACATACATACATGCATGCATGCATGCATGCATGCATGCATGTATACATACATACATACACATACATACATACATACATACATACAGACAGACAGACAGACATACATACATTGCATGCATGTATACATACATACATACACATACATACATACATACATACAGACAGACAGACAGACAGACAGACATACATACATACATATATATGTATATATATATATATATTGTCCTGCGGATAAGCCCCCGCGGCAGGGGAGAACCAGACGCCCCGACTCGTTACCCCACCTGCCGCAGCGAAGCGCGGCGGAGGGCCGCGCCCCCGCCCCGCGCGCGCCCCCGCGGCCGACGCGCGAGGCAAACGAGGCAAAGCCAGGGACCCCGAGCCAGGGGGGGAACCAGACGGAGGGAGGCAGCCCAGCCTCTTCACACATCCCAGTCTGGCAACCGGGTCCCGGGTGTGTGCGGGGGGGGGGGCCCAGGAGGAAGAGGAGGAGGAGGAGGCGGAGGAGGAGGGGTAGTAGTAGTAGTAGTAGTAGTAGTAGTAGTAGGAGTAGTAGTAGTAGTAGTAGTAGTAGTAGTAGTGGTAGCAGTAGCAGTAGCAGTAGCAGTAGCAGTAGCAGTAGTAGTAGTAGTAGTAGTAGTAGTAGTAGTAGTAGTAGTCGTAGTAGTAGTAGTAGTAGTAGTAGTAGTAGTAGAAGTAGTAGAGTAGTGTAGTAGTAGTAGTTAGTTGTTAGTTAGTAGTAGGTAGTAGTAGTAGTAGTTAGTAGTAGTAGTAGGAGTAGTAGTATGTAGTAGTTTAGTAGTAGTTGTGGTGGTGTGGTGGTGGTGGTGGTAGTAGTGTTGTTAGTAGTAGTAGTAGTAGTAGTAGTAGTAGTGTAGTAGTAGTAGCAGTCGTAGCAGTAGTAGCAGTCGTAGTCGTAGTCGTAGTCGTAGTCGTAGTCGTAGTCGTAGTCGTAGTCGTAGTCGTAGTAGTAGTAGTAAGTAGTTAGTAGGTAG